TTATTCCTGAAATAAACCACCTCAAACAGAGTGGCATTTTAAAAAGCAGCCATTTTTTTATGCTCACAGGTTCTGTAGGTACTGCCTGTGTCTGCTGGGACCTCTGGGTCACTGACATGTGTGGTAGATGTCGCCAGCTCTGTCAGGACCTCAGCTAGGAACCTACACGGGGCTTTCCATGGAACTGCCTGGGCTCCCTTCCAGCCGGGCTGTTGGATTTCTAAGAGTGGGTAGCCCTAGAACTTGGTGGAAGTTTTTAATGACCAGGCCTCAGAAGTCACACAGCCTGCCCAGTTTCAAGGAAAAGGAGCAGAGACCTCATTCTCTCAGTGGGAGGTGCAACAAAGTCATGTTATAGGAACAGCACGTTGGATGAGAAACATCATGGCAACTATCTCTGGGAGATAAGTCTGCCTCAAGTATGGCATAATCCATGACCAACCGATATCAGCAATTGGCATCAGTACTTCTCTCATACATTTGAACTCTTTGACAACATGGTGTGATTGCCCTTTCACACCTCCCAAAGTCAGTTAAGGCCCGATGACGTGATTTGGTCCATGAAACATGGATGGAAGTGACACATATAACAGTGCAGGAAGCACTTACACTAAAGCCTCATGACTCCTAGATTCCATACTTGCAAATTCACCTACTTGCTGATATATCTTTGTAACCCTCGCATCAGTACATCACTTTCTGGCTCATGGGTGGATATGTATACACGTAGAGTGGTGAAAAAGCTAAGCCACCAAAGACATCCCCAGATAAAGTCGAACAAGGCTAAGTTCTGTTTTCTACTTACAGGTCTCATACATCGTCCTTCTCACAGTTTATTTAGTGGCACATTTTTCACATTTTTGTGCTTTCGTTGGTGATCTTGCTCTTTTAAATGCCTTCCCAGGCATAGTGCTGAAGTGCTGTCTAGTGTTCCGGAGAGAAGAGAAGGATGGGATGCGTCTTTTGGTGAAGATACTTAAACTTCAAGGAGGCATAAGGTACAGTGTTGCTTTTTGTGAGTCCACTGTTACTGAATTAACAGCATATATCAGGGACTTCCTGGCAGTCCTGTGGTTAAGACTCCATACTCCCAACACCGGGGCACAGGCTCAACGCCTGGCTGGGAAACTAAGATCCCACATGCTGCAGAGCGTGGCAAAATAAATTAATAAAAGCAGAGTTTGCCAGAATGGATTTTAAAAAGTATATATTAAATGAGTTATCTTTATGCAATAACACACATAAAATAAGGCTACATATTGATGACAATGTACCCAGAGTTTTTCACAGGAACCTAAGTCTGAATTTCCTCTAGTACCAATGGTTCAGTATTCATTCACTCAGTGTCCATGGTGACCGTATAGAACACACAGAGCTGCCATGAATAATGAGAAATGGCTCAAATTCCTGCTGCAGGATTCTCCTGTGCTTGCTCCCCTGCTGGGATGAACTTGGAGACCCTCGTGATAGAAAGTGCCACACTGCACCATCACGAGTGCCGTAAATCTTAAATAAAACATCTTCACAATGTCATGTACACACCGGTTAAACATGAGCTAATAAAAAGAAAAATTTTACTTTAATTAATCAATAAGAAAACTAGCTAGATAATTTGACATGTTAGTGTAAAACTTGAGTCTTCTGAATTTCATTGTTCATTCTAACTGAAATTAATTTAAAATAAATCCCTTTCTTTCCTTCCTTCTGTTCTTTTACATGACTAATTATCAACTTGTAAATATAGATAATTCAACTTAGTCACCTGCTGTTATCTTAATTAATTGTATATTCCACACCCTATAAAATGAATGTCTCCAAATGTAGCCTCAGTTTTTAGACAAATAAAATACTCTTCCCCTCAAAAAGCATTGATAATTGTAAGGTATGCTGCAGGTGAAAAAGAACAACAGATTTCTTAAGCAACACTGTAAATTATTTTCTTTTCCTCTTAAAAAAATATTTCTGTAAAGTAAAATTGTATTCTCAACTTGGCAAATTTACCTATGCAATGGATCACATCTGTTACATGAGTTAAAATAAACAGGCTATTTAAAAATAAGTCAAAGTTCATTATTTAGCCTTCACTAAATAATTCAAACATATCTCAGCAATAATAATAGATTTGCTATAAACCCTAGAAAGTGTCATATATCCTCAGACCACTGCATATCCATTTGAGCAGGAAAGGGGAAGGAAACAAAAAGACATCAATTGCGTTAAAAGCACTAGGCCCACAGAACGTGATATTATCCAGCAACAGAAAGGAATGAAGTATGATAGATGCTACAACATGGATGACTCTTGGAAGCATAACACTAGGTGGAAGAATGCAGTCACCAAATATCACGTATAATATATAATTCCATTTATGTGGAAAGTCCAGAAGCCGCAACTCCATAGAGACAGAAGGTAAAGGGTCAGACATGACTGAGCGGCTAGTGTACTCTATACACTGCTGAGACAGAAAGTAGATTAGTGGTTGCCAGGGACTGGGAGGTCGGGTGTGCTGTGTTCTCAGCTGCTTCAGTCGTGTCCTCCTCTTAGCAACTCCATGGACTGTAGCTCGCCACGCTCCTCTGTCCATGGGATTCTCCAGGCAGAAATACTGGAGCGGGTTACCACACCCTCCTCTAGGGGATCTTCCCAATTCAGGAATCAAACCCACATCTCTTACATCTCCTGCATTGACAGGTGGATTCTTTACAATCTGAGCCACCAGTAGAGATTAGGAGTAACTGCTAAATTGTATAGGGCTTTTTTGGTGATGTTTGTATAATACAATGAATATACTGAAAAACAATGAATTGTATTTGTTAAAATGGTGACTTTTACACCCATGGCTGATTCATGTCAATGTATGGCAAAAACCACTACAATATTGTAAAGTAATTAGCCTCCAATTAAAATAAATAAATTAAAAAGACAAATAAATAAAATGGTGACTTTTAGGTTATGTGAACTATATATCAAAACAAAAAATTTTTAAGGCAGACCCACCAGAATGGCTATAATAAAAAAGTCAGATAATAACAAGTGTTGGGTAAGGATATGTAGAAACAGAAAACTCACACCCCACTGGTGAAAATCTAAAATGGTACAGTCACTTTGTTTTTTTTTTAAATTTTATTTTCTGGCTGCACGGCACAGCTTGTGGGATCTTAGTTCCCTGCCCACCCCACCCCTCCTCAGTGAAATTGCGGAGTCCTAACCGATGGACCACCAGGGAATTCTGTGATACAGTCACTTTAAAACACAGTCTGCCAGTTCCTCAAAAAAGTAGAGTTACCATTTGACCCAGCAGTTCCATTCCTAGCTTTTACCCAAGAGAAATGAAAACATGTCCAACAGAAACATGTATACAAATGTGCACAACAGTATTACTACTCAAGCCAAAAGTGTGAAGCAATTCAAATGATCATCAACTGATGAATGAATAAACAAAATGCTTATGGAACTGAATAGTTTTCAGCCATTAAAAGGACTGAAGTACTGATACGTGCTACAATGTGAATGAACCTTGAAAATATTTTGTTAAGTGAAAGCAGCTAGTCAAAAAGGACAACATTGTATATGCTATGTTTGTGTCCTCCTAAACATTTGTATGTTGAAACCCTGATGCCCAGTATGATGGGTTAAGAGGTGGGGGCTTTGGGCAGTGATGAGGTTATGAAGAAAGACCCCCACATGAGTGGGATCAGTGCCCTTACAAAAGAGACCAGGAAAAACTCCTTCCACCATGTCAGGGTACAATAAGCAGTCTGCCACTGAAGAGGACCGTCATCTGACCTTGTTGGACTTGGACTTCCAGCCTCCAGAACTGTGAGAAGTGCATTTCTGCTGTTTGGAAGTTACCCAGTCTGTGATATTTTGTTATAGCAGCCAGATGTGTTACGACACTGTATGATCCCACTTACAGGAAAGGCCCAGAACAGAAGCAGAGATCAGGTTGAGTGGCTGCCTAGGACCCGGTGGTCAGCATTAAGAATGATGACTAATGGGGTTTCAGTGGGGTTTCTGTTGGGGGCGGAAGATGAAGACTGTTCTAAAATTCACTGTGGTGACGGTTGCACAACTGTGAAAACACACTAAATACCATAGACTGGTATGCCTTAAGTGGGTGAATCATATGGTAAGTGAAATTTTTCTCAATAATTCTCTTAGGAAAGAAAAAAAAATAGACTAAATCTAACCAAAAACTTGTAAAATCCCCAGGGCCTGGCTACTGTCCCCTCTTCCTCTTTCCCACAGCACTTTCCCAGCCTGTTGGCTCTGATGGGGTGACAGGCGTTTGGGACCATCTGGTGCGGAGAAGACAGGAAACCAGGCCAGTTCACGATTTGCTCCGGTGTGACTGTGGCCCCACCCACTTCCTTCCCCTGGCCCCCTTAGGGTCCGCCGTTAGGACCCGCCCGGAGCACTCGGCCCACAGCGGTGCGGACAGGGGCGGCCGAGGTCAGAGTCGGGAGGAGCCTCGCCTCAGCCCGCGCCCCGCCTTCCACTGGGGCACTCACGAGGGCGAGCCGCGCTCACGTCCCACCCTCCGCAGGAGAAGACCCGTCAGCAGAACCGGCTCCCCGCGCGGGTGGGGCCGCGGGAGAGGTTGCCGGGCCGGTTACACCAGAAACCCCACTGGTCAGCTGCCCTGCCTTCCTCCGCCCCCGGCTCCCAGGGTGGACCCCTCTGCGTGCGGGTTAACTAAAATACACGGGCGAGGGCGGAGGAGACTTCCAAGGAAAGTCCGGCCAAGCCCACCCTGCCATCCCGTCTCCCGGGGGACCCGCAGGAGCAGCGGGCGGCCCGAGCTGCCCCGGGTCGGGATCGCGGTCGCTGCGTCCTCTCCCGGTCGGGGCCCCGCAGTGTCCGCACTGCGCGGAGGTGGCCGCGCGTCTGCGGGGCGGGGACTCGGGGACACGCAGGCGGGGCGGTCCCGAGCGGCCCGGGCGCGGCCCCCTTCTCGGCGCAGCTTGCCGGGCTCTTTCTCCGGAGAGACGGCGCCGCCCATGGCCGAGGTGCTGGAGCCCGATCCAGGGGCAGCCGAGGGCTCGGAGGCCCCCGCGGTGGAGACGCCGGGCTGGGAGGTCCCGGAGGATGCGGGCCCCCAGGTAGGCGCCGCCCGCCGGCGCGGAGGGTGCGGGCTTTTGGGGGGCGAGTGCGGAGGTGTTCCCGACCTGATCTGCAATGAAATCGGAGGGTGCCATAGGTTTAACTAAAAAATACTTAAAAAAAAAAATGGTCTGAGTCCTCGCCCCATTCCTGCACAAACAGGAAAAGGGGTCAGTGAGCCATAGTAACCGTAGATGCCACATCTCAATTTTGTTTCTTTGCGGCTAAAAATAATATTGATCGCGTCCCCAAACTCTCAATGGGGCCCTCCGGGCAGAGGGGCGGAACAGTTGCTTGCTCTTAACCTGAACCGAGAGGCCGCCAGCGTCTCTAATCTAAAGATGGGAGCCGCGGGGGAGGGGCCCTGTCGCCGCTGCGAAGTCAGAACCTCCGGCCGGACCCCAGGGCAGCGCCCCTCCCCGGGACAGGCCGTCCCAGTGGACCGGAGAACAAGGTACCTGTGCTGTTGCGTCTCACGTTCTGCCATAGAATTGTCTCCTGTAAGTTTCCCTGTTCCATCTTAGCCCGGAAGTTATGAGATCCGACACTACGGGCCTGCCAAGTGGGTCAGCACTGCGGTTGAGTCTATGGACTGGGATTCAGCCATGCAGACTGGCTTTACAAGGCTGACCAGCTACGTTCAAGGCAAAAACGAGAAAGGTGAAGGCTGTTTACCTTTAATGACTGTATTGTGGCTGAGTGGCCTGGCTTATTGGGCATTCACTTATTAAAGAAATATATTTTTAGAATAGCAAAATAACCAAATGATCAAAGACAATGTCCGAAGAGGAGGGAGGAGTATGCTCAGAATCCTTCCTGTCTAGAGGAGGGTACTCCTGGGCTTCTGTTCTCCTTTCTGTGACTCTGCTGAATGAATTGAGCCTCTGTGTACCTAGCCTTAAGGCCTTTTCATGACTAATGCTTTGAGATAATTTGGTGACTGGTAAAACAAGAGATATTAGGAGGCAGGAAGGGTCAAAGAACACAAGATCCAGAGTCTCAAGATCTGTTTTCTGTTTTGGCACTGATGCTGTTTAGATTTTAGCAGGTCACTTAGCCAATGAGACCTGAATTGTGTAAGTAAAGAATGAACTAGACCATGTGATTTCTAATTTTCCCTTCTATCCCTAAAACTATGGACAAATGAAAATATTGATAGTACAAAAATAATTATAATGTTAATAGTACAAAAAGTGTTTAATGTGTAGTCGCTAATTGTAATTTTGCCCTTATTTTTTTTAAGATGAAAATTATCTTAAAGGTAAATATTTATGTCAAGAAACTCAGGTCAAAAAATAAATACGTTTTAAAATGTAGTCATAAATGCACTAAATCTGCTTTCATGGTCTCCTTTGCATCTAAATATATATTTTCGTGGCACAGAGATGAAAATAAAGATGACAGCTCCAGTGATGAGCTACGTGGAGCCCGGCTCAGGTCCTTTTAGCGAGTCTACCATTACCATTTCCCTGTATATCCCCTCTGAACAGCAATCTGATCCGCCCAGGCCTGCAGAGTCCGATGTCTTCATTGAAGACAGAGCCAAGATGACGGTGTTTGTACGGTAAGTGGTAGAGATCATTCACAGCACTGCTGACTGCTGGTTTTACTTGTGGGCACGCATAGTTTAGCGCCTGAGTAGTTTAGCTCCTGTACTTTTCACCCTTCCATGAAAACCGGCCTAATGCATTTTGTGGTGTTTTTCTAGTGACTTGTTTCATATGTTACTAAGGGTCTATGACATGAAAAAAATGAATTCATTTGAAGAGACATCTCATGCATCCCTCCCACAAATAAGAAGCAACACAAATTACACTCCCACCCCACCCCTCAAATGCATTAGACTGCCTTTACCTGCCATCAAGTTAAATCTGGAGAAAAATGCTTTAAAATAGTGCATGGTACCCCTCCTCCCAAATCTAGGTTCTGATAACCTCAAGCTCTTCCTTGTTCCTCCAACCTAAAGGATGGTAGCTGCTTCCTATAGTTACTGCCTCTATTGGTTTACTGGTTCCTTTTCAGTTTTTCAGACCTTCAATACCTTTCCACTCATTCCTTGTATTAAATTCTCTCTGTTGGTATCTTTAAAGAGTCCGACAAAGTACATAATAGTCTTGTATTAGAGTCCCTTTATTATTATTCCCTTTCTCACCCTCTTATATCCCCTGGTGACTCAGATGGTAAAGAATCTGCCTGCAATTTGGGAGACCCGGGTTCTATCCCTGGGTTGGGAAGATCTCCTGGAGGAGGGCATGGCTACCCACTCTAGTATTCTTGCCTGGAGAATTCCATGGACAGAGGAGCCTGTGGGCTATCGTCCATGGGGTCAAAAAGCAGAAAAGGACGGAGCAACTAACACTTTTACTTTTACCCTCCCTTGCTGAAAGACTCTGTCTCTCTGTCTCTGTTTCCTCAAGTCCCACGTACCCGTCAGACCAGCACAGCCTGGTACAGCCTCACCTGCCCCTTGGGCTCCCGTCACCCTCCGCAGCACAGCTGACATTGTCCCTCGTGGGCAGTGTTTTCCCACGTGTCTCCTGCAGCATCCTTGTGCTGACCTGTCTGGCCCCGTGATCCCTGTCCATCCCGTAACTGGCAATGTCACCTTCTTGTCTTTCCTTTCCTCCTGGTTCTCTCCCTCTGACGGGACTTCGTCCACTCCCCACCCAGGGATCCCTGTTGATGGCCCTTAGCGACCCTCATGTCATAGCAGACGTGCTCTGGGCAGTCTGTTCACACTGCTTCAACTATCTGTGGCCCATGACTCAAATTTAGTGTCTCCAACCCTGATTTTCCTACTAGTTGGGCATCTCCATGTGAGGGTGGAAGATCAAGCTCAACAGCTCTGAAACCCAGCTTTCCCCCAAGCCTTCTCTGACCTTACAGTGCCTGTGTCAGTGAAGCGTCTAATTGGTCTGACAGCCTCCCCAGCAAGGACCACTGTGGCCATCAGCATGCTCCACCCTGATAATCGGTCCCCAGACCCAGCCCATTTGCCTCAGAACCGGTCGTGATTCCGTTCCCTTCGCCCCCCACTGTCACCTCCTCGGGCCCTCCCCTTTCAGGGACCTCAGCTGAGTTCTCTGTGCTACCCCAGTGCTCGGCGCGCGCCTGATGCTCACCAGATGCTCTGACATTTTGCAATCTCAGGTTTCCCTTCAAGAGCCCCCCAACTATTCTCTGCCCACCAGTCTCCTCTCTCTTGTCCTCCAGAGGGAACTCTGATTTTTCTTATAACAGCAACAAAACCCAAACCTGTTACACCATTTAAAAATCTGTTCCTCTTGCTTCAGCGTGACATTTAGGCAGTTCACAGTGTACGCATCGCCTCCATAATGTGGCCCAACCTGTCTCCCTGACATCTCTGCTCCCCTCTCCTCCTTCCCTTCACTAAGAAGGCCAAATTCCTCCACATCTCTTTAACCTTTGATTTTGGGCAAGTTGTTGAGGTTTTCCTTGCCAAAATCTCCTCATCTATGAAACGTGTATAGTCAGAGTACCTACCTAACTCACAGAGTTGCCACGAAGATCAGATGAGTTAATTCACATAAAATACTCAGAACACGAGCAGAATCTTACTACCAACTCTAGCTCCATCCCTCTTCTCTGCTTGGAGAGCCCGCTTTCATCCTTTAGGACTTAGATCAATGGGCATCTTCTCCATGAGGCCTTCCTCAGTGTCTGCAGTCAGTCAGCCACTCTGCCCTATGATTGTAAAATCTAATGATCTATTTATAGATTGTAACATCCTCAAGAATAGAGCAACATGTTTCTCTGCCCGAATCTGTCAGCTCCTGGTGAGGCAAGTGTTTGGGGGAGGCTCAGTATTTGTCTGTGTCCTGAATAGAGCCATGGATGGATCACTGTAAAACAACATGTATTCAGAGGACAAAAGATGATCTCTAAGTAGGAGGTTCAAGATTTGATTTCAAGAAAGAAGTGAGATCTGAAACAGATTCCCTTTAGGCAGAACATACTATGCTAAGAGTTGACTATTCCTTAAGGAAATAAATAATAAATTTGGCAGTCAGAATGTTTCCTAACACATGGTTCAGAATTATTATCATCGGTCAACATGATGAAGATTAAGGAGAGTTTTGTCAGTTGTCTTCAACATTTTATTTTATATACATGTGCATAGATTCCTATACTTATTCAATTAGGATTTAAAAGGTACTGCGTGTCAGGAATGACTAGGTGCCTGGTAAACATTGTTGAATAAGACAGGCCTGGTTTGTACTCTTGAGACTTACATCTTATCTGAAGAATGGTAGGAATGCTTTTCCATTGGCATATTGATAATAAATCTTGTGCTAAAGAAGAATTAGAAATCCTATTAGAAATGTTTTTGTTTGTTTTCCTATTCTCAAATTTTAGATTCATCATGAGTCATGAGTCAGCAACTCAGCTAAGTCAGTGTGCTATCATGATTTAATCTCAGGGTGTTTTTGTTTGTATACTTTAAAATCTATACTTAAACTTTTAATTTCCCACTTTTTCTTTTCTTTTCTTTTTTTTAACTGTCTTTTCATCCCTATCCTCTTAGCAACCTTCTCTCTGGTCCCTTCCCTGCAATCTAGTTTCCATATCTCTGCCTATATTCTTACCCAGATCTGATCAAGTTACTTTTCTGCTCAATATCCTTTGGAATAATCTAAAAAAGCTTTAGGATGATACACAAAGTTCTTACTTCCATGTCTGACTCACCTTTCTGACTTCAATTTATGCCTCACTATGAAAATGCTTTGTGTTTTTTGGACTTTTGTTCTCTCATCCTTCCCTTTTCTCTGCCCAGGAAAACCATCCTCCATTCTAGATCCAACTCAGAGACACACGTTTACCCTTGATCTAATCATACCCTCAGTGTTCCCAAGCACTTTGATTCTGTCTCTGATAAAACTCTGCTCAGACTGTATGGAGAGAGTCGCCAAAATGTCCATCTCTTCCATTAGACTGAAAGGTCATAGGATCAAAACTATTATGTTCATCTGTTATAGAGTACCTACCTTTTTCCACGGAGAAAAAGAGGTAGTGTTTGATAGAAAATAGAAAGTCTGAAAGGGAGCCTACGGAGGGGGTTTCACTCTGGTCTGACTGGGAGCATCAGCATTATCAGGGGTTTGTGAGAAATGCAGGCATTCAAGCTCCACCCCAGACACCCTGAACCAGCATTTTCCCAGTTGACTTGCTTGCACATTCGAGTTTGAGAGGCACAGCATTAGAGCACAAGATGGTATAAAGGCCAAATCTGCCTAACAGATGAGACCCTGTGCCTGCTCCTGGGTCCCCTTGGGGTGTGTGAGGTCACACTGAGCCTGGGAACCAGAGAAAGGGAACAGATGAGTCCAGGTTCCTAGAGGGAGGAACTCTGAAACTGTGCTTCATCCAGATTTCCTTATATCAGCCTCTGCTTTTTTTCCTAAACTAACATTTGCATCAGTATTAAAATCATTGATGGTCATTTACTTTCTCCTTTGTAGGTCTTTCGATGGATTCTCTAGTGCCCAAAAGAATCAAGAACAACTCTTGACATTAGCAAGCATTTTGAGGGAAGAAGGAAAAGTTTTCGATGAAAAGGTTTACTACACCGCAGGCTACAATAGCCCTTTCAAACTGCTTGATAGAAATAATGAAGTATGGTTGATCCAGAAAAATGAACCTTCCAAAGAAAGGGAATGAGAAAAGGAGAGAAAGGTCTACTGTCTGGGGCAAAACTTTTCTTTAACATAGACATCATCATTACCTATAAGCAAAATGTATCTAGTATCTCTACCTGAGAGTACTACTATGAACTGAGCTTATTTCCACTGTGCCTTTTTAATGCTTGATGCCTTAGATACACAGATAATAGGGGACAGGATTCTATAAACATGTAAATCTGGCTTTATTTCTGAGGCTCCAGGGAAATGGACTGTTCTCTCTTTATTGCTGTTATCACAATCATGTTGCCTTAATTCTACTTGGATTTGCGTCATTACCCACTCCAGATATTATCAATAAAAATGGTAAAGTTTATCCTGTGTGGAACTACAAGGCTGTCAAGCCTGGAGAAGTGAAGTTCAGTTGGAAGCAAAAATCAAATCATCTTCTGCAGCTGCCACTGTTACTGTCTCTGTTGAGCCTGCTCTCCTATCTGCCCACTGCCCCCACCACACAAGAAAAACTCACAGTACTCAGAAGTCTTGCTAATATTTTGTGATAAAAATATATTTGTGAAGTTAGGGACTTCTGACTTAATTTTGATACTCAAGAAAAACATTTTTTTTCCAAACAAAGGTGTACAAACATAGAATTTTAAAATTCACTTGAGTTTAGAAAGACACATTTTTTCCAAACAAATGTGTACAAACATAGAATTTTAAAATTCACTTGAGTTTTTAAAGTATTTTACGTGGTATTATAAATGATAATATGATTTATATCCAATCATATTAACAGGATTTGAATCACATAAAAATGATTCAGTATTCAAAGAGTGGGTTGTTGCAAAATGAGGAAGTTTGAAAATTGGACTTAATTGTACTGGAATGTGCTTGTTCTGGAGAAGACATCACATTCAAACACCTGGTAGCCTGTCATGGGAAGCTTCCCTGTAGGCTCCTAGGGGATGATGGTTCTGGATGTGAAGGAGAAAAGCAAGTTGGAGCTCAGTGACATCCATTGAATGACATTACTTCCTGTTCTTATCTTTGCGTGTATTCAAGCAGGGCTCATGTGATCACTTGTATGGAAGATTTGGGTATCCAGTGGATGCAAGAGTGGGGCTAGGTGATGTTCAAGGTCCCCTCAGCCCCAACATTATGCAGTGCCTCTTAGAATTAACCTCCCTAACCTGGATACGCTAGACCAGCACACCTACAGTGAATAGTTTCCATAGCTATTTGCGGATCGCCTTCTAGGTACAGTCTTCTAAGCATTTCACGTGAATCCCCGTCAACCCTCAGAACAGCCCTGTGTGTGACCTGTGTCATCTCCGTTTCACAGATGAGGACATAAAGGCACAGAGATGTCAGGTAACTTGCTCCAGATGGCGTCATAAGGGCAGAGGCCGATTCCAGCCCAGGCAATGGGACTCCTGGGTCCAGGCTGTTAACCACCGCGCCTCCTGGCAGTCCGTGTTTAAGAGTGCAGTTTTCTCAGGCCATCAGCAAGCTCAGACTGTGTGGAGGGGTTCTTCCTGCACGTATTACATGCATAGTCAACATGATCATGACCTCAGAGAGGTTTTTTAGATTATAATTTTTGATAGAAACCAGGCTAGGTTTCCAGTTTCAAAATTACTATATGGATATACTTTTTTAAATATTAGGCAATTATTTTCCAAAGGTATTTGGTTTCATTAATTGGTTTTGATTCTTTGCATTTTTGTGTTTGCTAAGAAAAAGTTAAATTTCTTTCTTAGCTCATTTACCAAAACTAACTGTGGGTCTAACCCTTTTAGCCTTCCTACTGATGAAATGTCCACAGTACTCACCTCTACTAGTATGAAGTAAATATTTACATATTTGCTTTATAACACTATAAAAAAAGGCATCTCTTATGTGGTAAATTTCATTTTAGATGAGAAAAGCATATTTCCGATTGCCAAGATGTAATTGTAATCTGAAACATGTTCCATAAAAAAGCGATTTTGTACTCTAAGTACTCTTAAGGTATGCCATTTTTCCCTCCTCCTCCGTAAATCATAAATGAAAACATTTTTCAGCCCTAAATTAATCCAGACCAGACAGGATTTCTCACAGCAGTGAATCAGTTATTTTAATTATGTGGCTGGCACTGACTAAAAAATATCCCTCAGTATTTCAGTTGAGCTTTCTCCTCTCTTATGGATAGGAAATTCGTGTCTAGATTCCTGTCTGAGGCTAAACCTTCCACTCTCCCTGTTGGTCTAACTCACGCGCCATTGATTACACCTCCCTCCATCTTCAGGTTCTCCCTTTCCTCACGCTCCAAACAGTCCGCTCACCAGTAGGCTCTGATTCTGCCTGATCTTCCCCACCCCCCAAAAATAAAGTCCTAGTTCCCCTAGACCCTTACTTAGGACAATAATTTCCATCTCTCCCTTGCCTTGATTATCCAGTTTCTCCAGAAAGAGTTGTCCAGAGGCTTCCTTGGAGCTCTAGGTTGGGAGGACATATTTCAGGAACTGTGACAGGGAATTAGGGCGCTAGTGTTAAAGAACCTGCCTGCCAATGCAGGAGAAGTAAGAGATGCAGGTTCGATCCCCGGGTTGGGAAGATCCCCTGGAGAAGGAAATGACAACCCACTCGAGTACTCTTGCTTGGAAAATCCCATGGAAAGAGGAGGCTGGTGGGCTACAGTCCATGGAGTCACAGCGAGTCAGACATGGCTTCAGTGACTAAGCATCAGCATGATATGGAATTAAGGTGGGCAACACCCCCCATCACTGTGTTTCCCATAGACCCATTCACATTTGTATGTCAATTTTTCACAAGATACACTTATAAGTCTGCAAATTCATTTAAACTGAGTTCATTAATTCATTCTTTCCTGGTCATCCCTTAGCCCTCTAGAAATCTTTCTTTTCCTTCTATGTATTTCACAGAAATGTCATTTATTTTCATCTTTCAGTAGGTCATTATGGAGTCCCTCCTGTGTCCCAGGCTCTGCACACTGTCCAGAGGGTTGCCAGAAATGCTCCCCCATCAGTGGGCTGAACCCATCAAATTCAACCACGTGTTCCACTCTTCCACTCAGTCCAGCTTCCAGATGAGAATACAGCAGTGAGCAGGGCCCCGTCCTCGTGGAGTGTACGTTCCAGAGAGTGAGACAGTGCAGATACCAGTGGGGCCGTGGGATAGAGTGTGGCTGGGCAGGGTGCAGTGGCCGTCACGTGGGAGGTCAGATCAGGCCTACCCAAGGAAGAGACAAAGGAGACCTGAATGGAGAGAAGGTGTCATTCAGATGACTGCCTGGGGGCAGGGAGAGCCTTTTGAGCAGAGGGGCCACGTCAAAGGAAGAGGCCACCTTGGGTATCCAGAACCAAGCTGCACATAACTGCTTGCTGGGCGGGGAGCACTGTGCTGGCAGGACACAACCTCTCCAGACAAAGGGAACCGCGGACTGGTACAGGGTTTCTGTAAGTGCAGAGTTCTAGGATTAGCAGACTTGCAGAATCACTTAGGAACTGACTGAGCTTTAGTTGTGGAGGTGTGGTTACCAGAGTGAGGCTACTGCTGATGAGCGTGTTTTAGGAATCCGGTTCAGAGGCGAGATCACGGATGCAAAGTTGTCATCGATCACTTCTGGCACTTATTTGCAAGTGTGGCCAAAGCACGGGCCTGTCTTTTCTGAGATTTTGAGTCCTGGCAGGCAAGCACAGAGCGGTGGACCACTTGGATCTACCTTCCCAGAAGGACCATTGCCCAACTGTGAGCGGTGTGATTAACTGATGTCGCCAGCTGTTAACTTTCTTCAGGATCCACTGCAGATAAAGACACATTACTCTCAGGGAGGTATCTTCCCTACAAAGGAGCCAGGCAGTGAAAGTTGACAGCACACTTTTCTCTGGTATCTTTCAGCCAATGACTGAGCAAGGTTGTGGTACAAGGACGTAGGCATTTCTGTCTGACTCAGGACCCTTTGTATAAAGTCTTTGCTCTGGAGTTCCCTAGGGGGCTGGTGAAAAGTGAAGTGAAACTGTTAGTTGCTCAGTCGTGTCCAACTCCTTGCGACCCCAAGGACTGTAGCCCACCAGGCTCCTCTGTCCATGGAATTCTCCAGGCAAGAATACTGAAGTGATGGCAGTTCCCTTCTCCAGGGGGATCCGGACTCAGGGATCAGAGTCTGTCAGATCTGTGTTGTAGTCGCCAAATCTCTTCTTCCCTTTCATTGGTATGACGTCACTATACATCTTTTGTATTCTCAGCACTGAACTGGCACAGCTGGTATCAGAGTGGTCCCGAGATCATGGGCAGTAAGACAGCACTTTGGGGACTGGGTCACAAACTGCCTGTCTGGTCCCATCCCTGCGGACAGGCCATACACACACAGCTCCTGGCACAAGGCTGTCTAGTTATTAAGTTTAGATGGAACGGCATACTGATGGGAAGGAATGCAGTGACTGGTGAATGATTCAGGTATTTTAAACATTGGGGTTGGGCTGGATAATGAGTATAAGTGCAGTGGACTTGAATGGTCATTACTGAGTTGCATTGTTGTCCCACAATGATCCAGTGTCCCAGGTGGATCAGGGAAAGTTAAGGTTAATTAACATTTAAAGCTTTGCGTAAGGGCCAGAACCTTTTTGGTTGCTTGTTAAACGGTCCTCACCTCATACTGAAGGCAAGCGCAGGATTGGATAGCAAAAGTAGTAACTGCCAACGGATGTTCAACCAAGCCTGATCTGTTGTGTCAAGGCCAGAATCAAACCTGGAATGTGAAATGGGGACATCTAGTGCCTGCCGCCCACAGCTTTGACTCCCTAAAGTTTCTGAACATTCTGAGCCTGTAGAAGAGGCCCACCCTCCCTCCATTAAGAGCTAGAACTACCGTCTCTCCCTCCTCTCACCCTAACACAAGGAAAGACAAGATACAGGTCTCCCCCCACCTCCCCCGCCCCATAAGGTGGCAGGCAGCCCCGGGAGCTGTCCCTACCCATCTCCCAGCTACCAGGCATTTACCCAAGGTTAAGTCACAGCACAACCTGGCAGAAGCCA